GGGGGGGGGGGGGGGGGGGGGGGGGGCAGATTGCCTCCCACTCCAAAGCATCTGGTCTGCAATCCAGTTTGAGAAGCCCAATGGCTGCTTTTATGAAGAAACAAAAATGTTAGGCAACTCTCCCATTTGTCTTCTAGTTTGACCTCAGAAAGTGCTTTAGAATTTCAGGGCTTTGAAAGGTCTGCACTGTATGGCTGGCAGATACAACTTAAGGATGGATTTGTTAAATATAAATATAAAAAAGAACTCATTCAGATCTTGACCATAAGCTAGTATTTTATATGTGCAGTTAGTGTAATGTTTTTGAAATGTTACATTTAATATGAAATGAAATATTTGCTTTTTGCAGCATGTTGTAATAGGTTTCATAGGGAAATATTCCTCTTCTCTTTTTGCCTGATCAGCTCAAGCTATGCTAAATGAATATTAAATTAATATGAAAGTTAGATTTGCCAGAGACAAATTACTGTATTGCTTAAACTGTTTGATGAAAATTTATTATGAAACCTGTGAGTAATAGTTTACTATCAAGAAAAATCCATGTATACACTGTTCCAGCTAAAGAGAAACTTGGATCAAAATAATATAAAGTCATGAGATTTCATGCTGCTGCATGCGCCATATAATTTAATTGGAGAGCCTTTGTTCTTACAGTTTTACTAACTTGCACCCACTCACTTTGGAAGTTTTCTCCATCAAAGTTAATTACACCAAGTGTGAATGTACACTTCATAGCTCAAATGTGCCATAGTCTCATTATGAATAGCTTCATTTGATATGCATAGAACTTTATCTCTGTGTTTCAGTTGCTTGCTTTTAAAAGCAACCACAGAAGAATGTACTGCTGCTAAAATAGGAAGCATGTTTAATAATCATTTGCGGTTCTTGCCACTTGAATACTGCATGCTTTGTTTGAAAGAGAATCATATGACAATAGCTTTGTAGGGTCACTCTTTCTTGTTGATTGTCTGTTGTACAGTCATAAGGCAAAGTGTACATTCTTCCTAATGTGCTCTGTAGTTTTGGATGTCTCTATACATGCAATACATCATTATCACAAATTCCTAGGCTATATCATTTCATATAAATGCTACCAATATTTGCATGTGTTTGTACTGTGAATGTTTTTTTTTCCTTCACTTTCTAATGTTCTTGAGATAAAGCATGCAACTCATTAAAAAGTTATATATATTCCTGTTCAATTGTTAGATTAATGACCACTTCACATTTACCTGCATTGTTCTGGCAGTCACTTCCCCACGGTATGTTCCCATGCAATTTTAGCTGTTATACAACACAAACCAGATGGGTAGAACACATGTTGTTGTTTCTTCCCACTCAAATATTTTTCTCCCACTTGGCTGGGAAGTAACCACATGATTGACCTTGTCTATTTGATTCTTGGTATGTTCTATATTAAGTGACTCTCATACAATGGAGTAAATATAAATTGGCCATTGCCACAACCCTTCACTTTCTCTTGTGCAACTTTTCTTGTTCTTTTGTTTTTGCACAGTAACTATCATCTCTACAAACCTGGAAGTCAGCTACATTATTGCCCTTCAAATAGATTTCTTTCTCTCTCTCTCTCTCCCTCCCTCCCTCTCTTTCAATACAGCTTAGAAAGCAATTGTACTCATTCAAGATTGAGTAATCATGTACCTCTGAGCAGGAGATTCAAGAAAACTGATAATTTATGGCTAGTGAAGAACTTTAAGTGAAATGAAATATAAAGAAAATGTTATTCCAGAGATAGCTGCCTGATTTTGAACCCATGCAATTTTTTTTCTTGTTATACAGAATTGAAAACTGTTTAATGTGGTATTTCTGGCATTTGGTGATGGCCCAAATTATATCCCTCATGGTCTGAATAGCTCCCCCTCTCAATTATCCTAAGCATCATTCCATATTTCCCCATTGTCTTTTTTGCTCACTCCCAACTTTGTCTCTTTCCATGCTGCCTCTTACACTTGGAACAGCCTCCCAGTCAACGTATGTAAAGCTCTCCTCCTTCAAAAAACAGTGTTGAAATCCACATGTTTAGGAACATATTTCTTTTATTAACACCATTGACATTCTCTGTGTTCTACTAGTTTATATGCTTCATTCTAAAATTATTTGTAGCATTTAAACTTTATAGGACAGAGAAGATAATAGTCTAGAGTGGTTATTTTTTAATACCTGGTAATAAGAGCCAGCATGGTATAGCCAGTAAAGAGTGGGGGGAGACCCAAATTTAAATCCAGAATAAGTCATCAGAAGTCATTGATTTGCCTTGGACCAGGCATAATTTCTCATTTCACAGTTTTCTTCTCATACAGATTAAAAGGTTAACTCATTTATTGTCAAGATGAACTTAATAATTCCTATTGGCTTTGCAGGACCAATTTCTGTGTCAAAAGATAATGTCCCTTTGTGGTCATTAATATTGATTGATTGATATTTATCATTCTCCAGAATTTGTTGCCATTGGGTTAAATAAAAATACAAAATTCAGTAAGATTTTAACATGATGAACATTTTTCTTTCTTTCTTTAACATTTTTCTTTTCAAATTGTATTTCAGAAATTATTGAAAGATCTTAAAATAGAATTGAGTTTTATAATACACCATTAGTGTGGGAGAGGTTCCAAAACTAATACTGAGTGATATTGAGCAGATGTTGAAGTGTATGTGATAAATAGAAGGTTATGGAATTCATAGAGGATATGAACTAAAAGCCACTATTTGAACACAGAATGGTCTTGATCCTACATGATAAATCCACAAAGCCGTATTTCTGTGTATTTATTTATACTATTTCTATCCTGCATTTTAGGGTAAACCCCTCCCACATTTGGTGAGCTTGTTTATATAATTATATACATAATATTAAATGTATAATATAGAGTGAATACAAGGAATATGGAATGATAGCCATGAAGTTTTGAAGTTATAAGTTTGCAACTGTAGGAATCCAATAGTAATCTTAGAATCTTGACTTAATCTTGTGAATTTTCAGGCTTTTCTGTCGTGGTCAGATAATGTAGCTGTATGCTAAGCAAATCAACCTTTAATGTGTAGAAGTGATAACAGAAGGTGTAAGCCAGATATCTTATTTTATGTATTATTAATAATGCTATAACATAACTCAAACCTGATACTTACAATATTCTCCTTGTTTTTGTCATCGTAAGATGAGTTATAAAGGACTGAGAGGGATAGCTCTGTCATTTAGAATATTGAAATAGCTGTTTTTGATGCAAATATCTAAGGGCTGGAAATAGTGGCTATTCAGGGGACCACCCATCTATTGTTCAATCTATACCCAAACATTTTAATCAAGCTCAGCCCACTCATTTGCCCAACTACTATGACAAATTTCTCCCAATCTTTTCCCAACCAAAATGTCTCAATCTAAATGTGTCCTCAGAGCAAATCATTGTGGGCCCTGTAACTATTTCATAAGAGCTTGCTCAGAAAATCATTTTCAGAACCAGGCATTCCAAGTTGGGAAGAGAGAATGAGAGGAGCAGGCAAGTACTGGAGGTGTGGAACCAGCAAATGTGCATAGGATAGGTTGGGTATGGCAAGAGGTCTCCTGTCTCAAGTGCCAGTTTAGTTTAGAATTCATAGGAAGGAATCACATGAAGTGTGGTATTTGAGAAGAATGGAAAGAAAATGCATCACATAGGTATACTTGGAGAAAACTTTGGAAGAATGGACAGATTTAAAAAATTGATTCACCAGATATAACCATGGCACATTTGTTGGGCATGACATGATTTTTAATCAAAGCTATAAATCATGGGGTCCAGACCAGGCATATTTCCCTTTCCTGTATGAGTGCTGGGAACTTAATTGGTTATGTACTGAGAAGTCAGTTGGAGCATCTTAGTATCTTTCACATATCAACTCAGCCATCCTCAGTTTTCCTTCCAAATTTGGAACTGAGAAGAGTTACGATGTTGCAAAATCTTTGGACTGATTGCCTCCCACCATTGTGCCTCCCAGACTGGGAGCAAAACTAATGATAAAACAGTAAAGGCATATTTGGTGGGTGAAGATGTCAAGTAAAAGCATAGCAGTCTTCAGATTTGATGATTGATGTTATACCATTTGTAACATCCATCAATTCTATTACATTTGTTTTATGGAAAAACATTTCTCTTCATTTCTGGATATCTAAAGCAATAATATTTTAAGGATATTTTTTTTTTGCTAGATAAATATTCATTCATTGAAAGGATGTTGTTAAGCATTGGCTTTTCCTATATTTATTATGGTTACATACCAACTTAAATGGAGAATAAAGTGAGCAAGAACAGTTGCCATTTGTAGCGCTGCAGGTTTTTTGGAGGGGGGCTGTCAACAAGAAACACAATACTTGTCTTTCAGCTTTAGTTCATTATTAAACCATGGGGGTGTTTTGTATATATTGTGTTAGCAACTTATGTGGTAAACAATTATTGAAATAGTTTTACTTTTCAACATTCCTTGCATGGAAATTATAGGGTAGAGTCCTCTGGATTTCTTTTCTCTAAAGACTTTCCATATTGTGGATAGCTTGTACCTCTTCACTTCAGTCCTTTAGAATGATATTCAGTACTTCAACTCTCAGGGGTGTATGAAAGCCATACTTTCCCCCTAGTTAGGTTTATTCAGATCTAGTGCAAATTTAATTCTGGCTTTCTGTTAACCATCGTTTGCAAATTAGCCTCAAATTAGCATTTTTCTTTCCATATCCCATTCACCTTTTGATATATAAATTTTCCCATCCCTTTCCTTAGCAATTTTAATAAGGTTTTGCATTACATTTGTCATGAATAGTAACCATCTAATTGTGGAGTCCTTGGTTGTTTGCTTGCAGACGTTTCATTATCCAACTGGGTAACATCATCAGTGCAAGTGGGTGTGGGGTTTGTTCCTGTTCATATACAATAGCTTGCCCTGCCAGTTTTGGTGGGGGTGTGGTTTTCTCCTTGATATCCCCTTGATTAAGGTAATGTTTCCTGCTTGATTGTTTGCCTGGTGTTAATCCCTGCTTATCTGCGTGATGGCTGCTGGAGAGAATGCGTTCTGGTCTTTTTGCTTCCTTCTTAGCTTTTTTATTGTCTCTTTTGAATGGTGTGTAAATATGGTGCATTTCTGTGTGTCTTTTGATGGCTGATTTATCTGAATGCCAGGCTTCCGGGAATTCCCTAGCATTTTTAGATTTGTTTGGTCTGGGATGCTCACAGTTTCCCAGTTGAAAATATGGTTGGTGAGTTTGTCATCACCCAGATAAGCAGGAATTAACACCAGGCAAACAATCAAGTAGGAAACAATACCCTAATCAAAGAACCATTGAGGAGAAAACCACACTCCTACCAAAACTGGCAGGGCAAGCTATTATATATAAACAGGGAGCAAACTCCACACCTGCTCTCATTGACGATGTTACCTAGTTGGGTAATGAAATGTCTGCAAGCAAGCAACCAAGCTCAGAGAGCACCAAGGACTCTACAGTTCAACCCTGAGCTACATATATTCTCTTCTATTGGAACCATCTAATCGTTTAATTGGACTTTGAAATAGGTTTGTAGAATCTTATCTGATTCTCACTCATAATTAATTGGTAAGATTAAGAGATTAGCATCTGTGCAGACATAAATCTAAATTTAATCAAAAAATTACCAAGAAAGGGGCATTTTATACTGGAGACAGAATGAAGAATGTCACCAAGAAGGCATTCCTGGGTTTGTTTCCAATTTGAAAACTTCATTTTGCAGAAACCTCCAGGTATTTATGCACTAGAGTTCAGAAGTGAAGGAAAGATATTTTACAAAATATTGAACAGTCTGCACTTTGTTATCCAATGTTTCTTAGTCAAGTTTTTGAACTGGAAAAATTGTTCTGGTTTAATCCATTATAATCTGTGGATCACATTACATTCAATTTTTCTGTTAGAATTGATGTGCTGTCAACATTTTTTTTTCCAAAATAGCCAGAAAAAAATATGCTTTACTGTTTCGTACCGCAGAGAGCCCATTACTGCCCTGAAAAGGGCACCCTGTGTTAGAAATGGATTTTAAATGCAAGATCAGTCAAAAATGCAGAAGAGCCTTCCAAACTCCCAGGCCACACTGAATGGGAATCCTGGAAATTGTCATCTCACATGCCTAGAAGGCACCAGCTTGGGAAGATTGAGCCAAAGGAAAATTTAGTGATTATTATTGTTTTAGGGCCCTGTTTGTTCTCATGGCCTTCATTGCTCCTGTTTTCGTTTTGCTTTAGTGTCAACTTTCTTATTCTAATTACTGATAAATATTCAAACAAAGAATTCCAAATCTGTATTGCTTTACCATCAACCTATAAGGTAAGCAAAACCAAATATGCAAATTTTCATATTTCTGTAATTTGTTCCAGATGCAGTCTATAAAATCCTTCAGAGGTTTCAAGTCTTTAGTCTTAAAAAAAGGGGGGGGGATTATCATAAAATAGTTTTAGAACTATAAAACAACTTCATGAAAATGTCAGTGAGGAGTAACGCAATAGAAAAAAATTAGTTTCAATCCATGTACCCTCAAAGCTGAGGAAACAACGTGATGTTTCACTGTTATATTTTCTTTAATATTAGATATAAACAGTTCATACTTAATTCCAATTTTCGATTTCAAAATTAAAAGGCTTTTATCTTTTGCAATTATTTTGTTTTTTTACAAGATGCTTTCATGTTTGTGTTCTTTTTTGTTTCCAGCATATTATCAAGTTTCACCGTGCCTCAAAAGCAAACAAAAAACCCATGCAGCTGCCAAGATCTATGGTCAAATCACTACTTTATCAGATTCTTGATGGAATCCATTATCTCCATGCAAACTGGGTGCTTCACAGAGACTTAGTAAGTGCCATGACTTTAACTGCCTACAAATAGACAGTTATATTTGTATTTCATGAAAAGCAGATAAAAATGCAAAATATTAATCTCACAGATTACTACACTTCTTCCTGAAATTTTTACCATATTTATCCAAAAGCAAGATGACCCGGAATTTAAACCTACTGATTTCAAAACGAAGGAAATGCAGAATATATAGAGAGAAATCCTGTGGAGTTCCAAGTTGTCACCCTGGGCTTGCCAACTTTAGCTGAAACCTAGAGATTTCCTCCTTCCAGTATCTGTAAGCAACTGGTAGACAGACAGGCGGGCAGTTATTGGCCAGAAGCCACACTCCAAAATAGCAGGGCAGAACAACAAAAAAAGTTACAACAAAAACAACTTTTAAAAGTTTCTGTAAAAGTAAATATTTCATTTATAAAATTAACCAATCCCCTATTCCCATATAATACCAACTATTATCTCTCTCACACATTGGTTTCTCCCCTGGAGAAACACATCAATACACAGAAATTCCATTTTCTATGAGCAGAAACAGCAAAAAAGAAGAAAACAGGATGGAATGGGGTGAGGGAGAAAACAGATATAATGGGAAGGGACAGGAAGGACAAAACTAGAGATGAGGTGAGGAGAAGAAATAATTAGCAGGAAAGAAAAGAAGAGAGAGAAGCCCTGTTTAGGGATTTCAGAAAAGGGCTGATCTTCAAAGGCATCTGTACTTTTCAGCAATGATGAACTACCTTTTCAGTCCCCTGCCAGTGTTTGTTTTCAGCAGCCACTATATCTGGAATAAAAGGTTGCTGTCAGTACTGAATAATTCTTAGAAATGTCAAAGGTAAAATTTAATTTAATGACATCACAGGATTTTTTTACCTATGGTATTTGCTATAGGTCAGTTTTATCACAGATCGGCATTATAAAGAGTTCATTAAATTTTACATTGGAAGGTATCATTAAAATGTATTAGGGTTATTGCATTTTTGTACTATTGTAAAAACTCCAGCTACCATTTTGTTGGAATGTTCTCAACTTTTCACATAATTTATTGGGAACAAATTATTGGTGACATAATTTTGTCACCAGCTTAAATGATTCCTTGATACTATTGAAAACATTGTCTGAAAAGAGACTTAAAATAATCCTGCCTTGATTCTGCACAGTGTAAGAGAGGACAGAGGGAAACTCTGGCAGGTTTCAAGATTCTGTTATTATATCCTATAATGATAAAAGTAGAATTTCAGTAGTTCAGTAGTCTGTTTCCTGATCTGACCTACCTTGAAGGGTTGACGGAGTTATAGTGTTTTGGGTGTAGAAACAAATGCAATTCCACTCAGAACAGAAAAGACAGTAAGGAGAAAAGGGACTATGTAATATTTAATTTTAATATTTAAAAGAAGTGAGGCTTTTCTTGAACTTTCCCCTTTCAAAGGACTACTTGAATAATGTTGTAATAAACATTATTATATGGGTTTGTGTTTCTGAACTGCCTGATGGTAAATGATTTCCAATAATATACCCTGAAACAGCTGTCTAGGAATATTATAGTAGTGGTAGAGCAAGTGGGCAAATGGGAGTTTGCCTTTGAGTTCAGTAGGAAGTAGCCCCTAACAGATTTTCCGTCTAACTCAAGGGCCTGTATTTAGCTAACTTTAAAACCTGTGAAGGGAACAAGGGGAAATATAAGCAATGGCTAGTAGTGCTTTAAGAAACAGGAGTTTTTAGTTGTGACCTGCAGTGTTTGTGGCATATTTGTGTTCCTGCTTGAGAAGAACCTGGCAAGATTGTAGCAGTCCTTGAAGAAAAACTCATACTATTGGAAAGCAGATATCCTGTACAATGTCAGGGAAATGACCTTGAAGCTGAAACATTCCTTAAGTCCTGGGAAACAAGATTGTATTTGGAAGAGACTCAGGCAGACTCCTCACTGATACATTGGGGTATAAAAGGAAAGAGAGGTAAAGTACAATCAGGCTTACAAGATTCTGCTACCATACTTTTTCTCAATAAAATATAGCTCTAATCTTACTGTGGAGTTGATTTTCTGATCTGGTCTACCTTGTAGTACTAACATGGCCATACTTCAGTTCATAAGAGAGGTTGAATGTTTTTCAAATCAAGAAAAGTGCTACAACAGGGATTGATAGAAAAAAAACCCCAACTCGTTATAAGGAAGACCCACAAATAAGCAATCTCAAATAATTGAAGCAAGAGGCACAGAAGATATTTTGGACCATTGAAACTCAGAAAAAGTTTTCCGACCCGTGTAGTATAAATTGGTACAGAGCCTTCAGGGAAAGAAAAAGGGACTGGAATTACAAGGGATGATGGTGGAATCCTAAAGGACAGAGGGGATGCGATTAAACCTTCAAGAAGCCAAAGAGCCGCCTCCTTTTGGTAAATGATGACTCACTACTAGGAAGAACTAAAACAGAAGTGTGTTGGCTGGACTTAATAAATCATGAAGTGTACTGTCTGCCAGAGGCAGGTATCAGGCATATAACAGAATTTACAAGACCTATCAAATTTTAATGCTAATATGTGCGCAGGCATTTGAGACTGCAAGAAGAACCAAGAAGGAAACTTAAAGTCTCTGGGAGCACAAGTAGTGTTCTCCTTCATCTGTCAAGCCCACGGAAGAGGATCAGAAAGCAAAAGAATACTGCAAATCAGTGGCAATACAAATGGTGAAGGTAGGAGAGATTTATTTTCCAGGACCATTGTTTGAGGTATCTAGAAGGAGGACTTCTGGCATGATATGGGTTGTACCTCACAAAGTCTGGTAAAAATACATTTGGCCAGAGCATGGCAAGCTTGATTAGGAGGAGTTGCATATGAAAACTCTGAAGTTAGGACTTAAGACAAAGACTTGTGAATGTAGAGAAATGTGATTGTGTTGCTATAACGGAGTTAGTAAATCACTCCGTGAAAAATCAGAAAGAACATTGCCTCATAAAGTTTATGGCTTTTGTTGTTGATACACTAATGCAGAGAATTTGGCATATTAACAAGAGGAGCTTAGTACAGAAGGCAAATATGATGTAATAAATATAACAAAGGCTGGTAGGATAAAATTTGTTCAGAAGGAACAGAAGTGAATTAATTTGGTGATGCAGTAGAAAGAGGAATGAATAAAAACAGTATAGTTGTGCTGTCTGCTGTCAGCCACCCAAACAGAAGATATTGATAATGTCTTCTAAATGCAAACTGCAGATCTTTCAAAAAGGCATTAATTACTCTGACCTTTCCAGGAAATTCTTGACTTACCTTGCTGACAACTTTTTTCTTCAGAGGTGGAAGATGAGACAAGAAGACAAGATATCCTTGACGTGATATTAACCAATGAAGAATACTTAGTTGTGGAAGTAAAAGTAGCAAGATTGGAGCAAAGCATTCATGTAATTGCTGGAGTTTTTAATTTTAAGGGAAACTAAATGTGAGTGTAGCTGAACCTGTATCTTGGACTTCCACAAAAAAACAATCAGCTGTTAATAAACTCAGAGCAATAAGTGGTAGGTAAAGCCCATGAGAAACATTGCTCAAGATTGGTGCAAGTTCCTAGAAAAGAAGACACATACATAAATGCAGACAATTCCAATGAGGAAACATTTGAAGGGTAACACAAAACAGTGTGACAGCAGAAAAGTCTTAGCAAAGATTTGAAAACAAAAAAGGACAAATATAGAGGATAGAAAGTAAAACAGCTCACTAAGGAAGCATGCATACAGTAGGCAGTAGGATCAATCAATTTTTCAAGGATGCTTTAATTTAGATTCCTGCACTGAACAGGGAGTTTGACTTGGTAGCTTGTGTGGCGACTTCCAACTTGTGTGACTCTAGTGCTAGTTCTTAATACTAAAATTGCACCAGTTATAGAGAAGATATTTGTATGATTTGTAGCTTATGGTAAGAAGTACTCAATCATTTCTCAGAAAATGTCTCTTCAAGTCCACAGTCATTGCTCTCTATGGGAAATAGTAACTTAAGTTTTAATGTGAGTTACATGCAATCGATTGTAGTAGCAGTGTGATAGTTCCAGTGAAAGGATTATGACTGTCTATTCTCTGTGTCCCTATGTCTATTCAGTATATATTAATTTGCCTTTTTTCTTTTTAAATAGCTTTTATCTATTTAATGTAAATGTTATTTTCGCCTTTTAGAGAGGCTGTTGTGGAAATAAGAATCATAGCACAGGAGGATAGCATGTTAGACAATCCCTTACAAAGACTACATCTTTCAGGAAGTCCATCTATTATCTCAGTGGAACATATCTTGCTGAAGGTAGATGGAGATAGAATGTATGCAATAGGCAGTTCATTCATTAGGAACATAGATGAATTGTGGTAAGCATTCTTTGAATGGTGGCTAGCTTACCTGACATCATGGCTATGAGTTAATAGCATGGAGGAAGGACTTCTGGTTGTGGCATATAGTGACACCAACAACATTTGAAAATATAGTACTGAGGTTGTAGACCATGGTGTTTTGAAGGGCATCTACTTACAGAACTTAATGTCTAGATGTTAGAGCAGAATAGTAAACAGCAGTCTGGGATGACAAGAGAACTGAAGTCAGAAGCTGCTTGAACAAAGTCTTAGGCTGACTTTGCCCAGCCAGACCAGACATTAGATCCCCTCAGGGAAAAATGGAGTACAAGGCTTCCTATTCTTGTTCAGTCCTGTCTGAGCAACACAGTCTTCCTGTATCCTTTGCTGACAGTTTTGCCCTTCCTTTTGGTATTCTCTTTGGTACTGTCCCCTGGTTTGTCCTTCTGTTCTGTTCTGTTCTTTGGTCCTAGCCTTTAGCTTCACCTCTTTCCATCTTTCCACACATTTCTGAGCTGAAACTGAAAAATCTGAGACAAGTGGTAAATGAAAGGACTTATGCAATTGTACTTTAGGTTTCTTCCCTTCGTAAGGACATAACTATGTATTATTTCTGAAGTGAAATCTCATGACAGCTTTTGTTGGAGCCTTCAATAGCAACATTATCAGAGCTTTTATTTA